AAGTTTTGTGGAGACTCACTACTATCTTGTGTAATGTTTATTAGGCGATGGTACAGATCAGTGGAGCTATCTTCTTTGTAATGGCCTCTTAGAATAGTGCGCAAGTGAGCAATGGAGAGATCTGCTTTAATTTCTAGCATATCACGAAGAGGTAAGCCTGGACTGATAGATCTAACCACGGCTTCAATGATCTCCTCTTCACTGTGGTTTCTTTTAAGTCCCATATCAATCTGGTGCATCAGATTTGAATAGGAAAGTTTATCTCTCTGGCCCCTTTCTCCAATTTGGCCATTAATTTTGAACTCTCTTCTTATAGTGACTTCAGGGGTGTTAGCTGCAAAGGGATTTGCAAATTGTGCTGGAAGCTGATATGGTCCCTGAATTTTCACCTTCTTTTCCAACCTTGCCATTTCTTCTTCTAATTTCTTAGTGGAAGCTTGAAAACTTAGCTGTAATGCTGCATATTGTTTTTGCAGGCTTTCAAGGGCAGCAACATCTCTTTCAGCCGTCTCATCAACCACCATCGACTCATTTTTTTGCATTGCTTTTGCTTTTGCTATCAGTCTGTTGAGGAATTCACAAGCCACATCCTCTTCTTCCGTTTCAATTGCAATATCAGCAACTTCACTTATTAAACGGATCAGCGTGTGTTTTTTGGTCTGATTTTCAGTTGGGACTTTCGCATACAAACACACCTCCTGGAGCTGGTCCATTTTCAACTGCACAAGGGTCTCACTTAACTTATCCTGCAGTTGCTCCAACTCCATGGCTGATGTATTAAAGTCTCACTTTGTCTTCCCTGAAGCACAGCTGCATCCCCGTACGGGCCACCAGATTTGTTGCACACATGAATGAATAGTCAGTGTGTTTTGTTGCGGGTTTTATTCCATCTTTGGCTGTTAACACAGACGAGAGCGCAATGAACAGCGTCTTCTCCAACAGTCAAGCAGCACTGAATTAACCGTTGAACCGTTTAACACTTAGCATAAACATTCACATCCTTAGCTTTACCTTAAAACAAGTCAGATACAGCTCACTCCTTTCAAGCACACAACATTTATAGCAGCATCACTAAGTCCTGGTACAACTGGTAAAAGTTAGCTTAGCTGTTAGCTTACTCACACTACCATATAAAACTAACATTTTACAAAACAAACATACAGGGATAGACGGCCAACATTCCCCTCATTACCCCGGACTTCTACCCAATCTCCTTCATTGCTGTTATTGTGTTATTTGTGCCGTTTTACCTGTTAACACAGACGAGAGCGCAATGAGCAGCGTCTTCTCCAACAGTCAAGCAGCACTGAATTAACCATTGAACTGTTGGATCAGCAGTACACACTGTGTTCGTTGTGCCCCCTTGTGGCGAAATGTTGTTACTACATTGTTTACTCATTAACAGTCCACAGGGAGAAGTCGAGCTATAATGAACTTCTAAAAGGTTAGCAGTGAAATGGAATGAAGTCAAATAAATTAAAGAAAGAGAGGGGGGGGGGGGGGGGGGGTCATCTCTATTCTCTCACAATCTGGTGTTGCCGCGAGAGGGCGTCCGGCTTCAGATTCTTGCTCCCAGGACGATAGGACAATGGGAAATCAAACCTGCCAAAAAACAGAGCCCACCGAACTTGTCGAGGGTTTAATCTCCTAGCACCCTTAAGGTATTCCAGGTTCTTGTGGTCAGTCCATACCACAAATGGCTGAGGTGACCCCTCCAACCAATGTCTCCACTGTTCCAGTGCTGACTTAATAGCAAGCAGTTCTCTGTCTCCCACATCATAGTTCTTCTCAGACGCAGAGAGTCGTCGAGAGAAGAAGGTGCAGGGATGCAAGAGATCATCCTCGAACCTTTGCGATAGGATGGCCCCCACTCCGGTGTTGGAAGCGTCCACCTCTACTACAAAGGCGCTGTTGGGGTTAGGGATGCGGAGAATGGGGGCAGATGTAAACAATGCTTTCAGCCTGCAAAAGGCTTATTTGGCCTCAGTTGTCCAAATAAATTGATTCTTGCCTGAGGTCAACCAGTGGAGGGGGGCTGTAACAGAGCTGTAGTTCCTGATAAAACAACAATAAAAGTTGGCGAACCCCAGGAAACGTTGGAGGTCCTTGACGTTGGCCGGGTCAGGCCAATTCAGGACAGCACTGACCTTAGCAGGGTCCATACCAATCCTCCAGGGGAAGTGACCGCCCCCAGGAAGGTGATCATAGTCTGGTGGAATACGCATTTCTCAGCCTTGACATTAGTTGATTCTGGAGTAGACAGATGAGTACTTCTCTGACATGCTTGACATGGCTCGACAGATCCTTCGAAAAAATCAAAATGTCATCCAGGTAGGTGAAGACTGACCTGTTGAGGAAGTCCCGAAGGACATCGTTGACCAATGCTTGAAAAACCGCTGGAGCATTGCAGAGACCGAATGGAATGACGAGGTATTCATAATGGCCAGATGGGATGTTAAAAGCCATCTTCCACTCGTCCGTGTTAAAAACCATCTTCCACTCGTCCCCCTCCTTCATCAGAACAAGGTAATAGGCTTTACGAAGGTCTAATTTAGTGAATACAGAGCTCCCCTGTAGAAGGTCAAACTCAGTACTCATGAGAGGTAAGGTTCTTAATTGTGATGCCATTTAAACTTCGGTAATCAATTCAAGGTCTCAACGACCCATCTTTCTTCCCCACGAAGAAAAACCCCGCACCTGCTGGAGGTGATGACTCACAAATAATACCTGCGTCTAGAGCGGCTGCCAGGTATCTGTCCATTGCCTCCCTCTCTGGTTTGGAGATGGCATACAGACCCCCCCCCCCCCCCCCCCCGAGGGGGAGGTGCCCGGATGGAATTCAATGGAACAATCAAAACTGCAGTGGGGTGGGGTGGGGTGGGGGCTGAGAGGTGGCCTTGGCCTTGCTGAAAACCTCGGCCAGGTCGTGATAAACCTCTGGCACTCGGGACACATCGGATACATAGTCTCATTCAGGGGGCTTACCTTGGTCTCAGAATGCTCTGCCAAAGTTGTCCTCAGACACGTTGCCCCCCAGGACAGAATCTCTCCAGTGGCCCAGTTGATGATAGGCTGGTGCTTGATGAGCCACAGCCGACTCAGAATGAGTGGAACCTCTGAGGATCGAACCACCAGAAACTGTTTCTGTTCTCTATGAATGCCTGCAATGAGAACAGATGTAGACTCTGTCTGGTGAGTAATAATCTCTATGACATGGCCATCGATGGCCAGGATCTTATGTGGTCTCGGAAGGGACTCCCACCTCAATTTTAACTCCTTGGCTAGACAGATGTCAATGAAATCGGCGTATGCCCCAGAGTCAATAAAAGCTCTAATCTCCAAGGTCTCGGGAGTCAATAAAACATACCAGACAGCCTCCTGGGGGTGGGGGTGGGGTGTTAGAACATGTCAGAACATGAGATAGGACTCAGTAAGGCCCCCACATCCCTCACTGTGTCTTGGCCTTTTAATGGGCAACCAGCTGCATGATGACCCCCTCCCCACAATAAAAACAAGGCCCTTACTGAGACGACTTTGCCTCTCCTGAACCGACAGTCTGGTCCACCCAATCTGCATGGGCTCCGCCCCCAGTGCGGGTGGGTTGGTTCCTACTGGGGGACCCGTGGTCTGGAGGATGGTTTCACAGAGGGGAACATAACTCAGTCTCTCCCTCCTCTGTTCCTTGAGTCACAGGTCAATCCGAGAAGCCAGTTGTTCCAGGACTTTGAGCGATCTAGGCAGATCTCTGGCCACCAACTCATCCTTGATTCTTTCAGACAGTCCTTGATAAAATGCATCAAATAAGGCATCATCATTCCAGCGACTGCTGGACATTAAAGCATGAAAGTCTATAATATATTCCGTCACTGGTCTTACCCCCTGTTTGAGGGAGACCCCGAGCTGCCTCCCGTTCAGGGCGAACTGGATCAAAAACCCTTTTTAATTCTTCTGAGAATTCCTGAAATGACCCGCAGATGGCAGCATCGCTCTCCCAGGTGGCTGTTCCCCACTGCTTGGCCCGACCTGACAGGAGAGAGATAGTGTAGGCTACTTTGCCCGCTCGGAGGGGAAGGACGACGGCTGCAGCTCAAATGTAAGGGAGCACTGAGTCAAAAAAGGTCTGCATTGTTCCGGTTCTCCGGCGAACAGCTCAGGAGGAAGCAACTTGGGCTCCCAGGTAATGTCAACTGGAAGTCCTCTGGGAGGAGAAGCAGCGGCGCTGCTGGTGGAGTGAAACGATTTAAGGTTAGCAACTCCCTGAACAATTTCATGAACGCTGTGCTCCAGAGCTGTGATAGAACTCTCTACCCTAGTGCACCATTCGGTGCTTGGCTGCATCCATGTTAAAGGGCGAGATCGTATTGTCACGGTCAGACATAGTAACGATCAGCCGGATCCAACAACAGCCACACAACAGAGAAAGTTTAAAATGTTTATTTAAGGACTTAATAAAGCGATCGGGACCCGCTGGAGCCGGTTCTGGGCGGCGTGGCCTCCTTAAACGGCAGCAGTGTTCTGTGGTGAGGGCTGCCGATAAAGGTGATTACGTCGGTTCAGGCTGGGACTAAGGCAATAGGCAGGTTCCGTGGTCAGACAGGCTGAGGTCGGGCAACAGGCAGGCAGACAGGTTCTCTGGTCAGGCAGGCAGAGGTCGGGCAATAAACAGGCAGGCAGGTTCCGTGGTCAGGCAGGCAGAGGTCGGGCAATAAACAGGCAGACAGGTTCAAACGCTCAAAAGACTGTGACATGGCAGCAGATGATCTCGCACTGAGCAGCAGGAGCCAGGTGCTTAAATAGGGAGTGCGGATAGATTGCTGCTGCTGCAGGGAGACAGGAAAACACAGACATCAGGGCATGATCATGACACCCTGCTAGTGACTTCAATGTAAATACAGAATCTTGACCTCAATGCAATGTTTTACTGTAAACCACTGCATTTCATGTAATACTGAAGTGATGCTCTCCCATTTTTTCACTCCAGTAATGAACCTTGCTGCAGCGTTCTGAACCATTTGCATCTTTGACAGTGTGGAAATGGTCAGACTGACATACAAAGAGTTGCAATAGTCGAGTCTGGAAAGCACAAATGCAGATGTTACAATCTCAAGGTCCTTTCTGGATAGCATAGGCTTGATTCTTGCAAGGCGCCGGAGCCGGAAAAAGCAGGATCTCACTACGGAGTTCACCTGTGCATCAAAGGTAAGTCCATAGTCCAATCTCACACCAAGATCAGTTACCACTTTATGTTCAAATGGTGCTAATGACAAGAGGTCTATGCTACATTGCTGATGGCCATTAGGTGAAAAAACAATGACTTCAGTCTTGCTCTCTTTACAACTTAAGAAGTTGTCCGACAACCATGAATGCACGTCTTCCACACATTCCACCAGAGAGTTAATGGAGCCAGACAACCCCTCTTTTACTGGCAGACAAATTTGGCAGTTGTTGTAGGCATCCAAATGGAAGTCAATACCGCACCTGCGGAAGATCATGCAGAGTGGGAGCAGAGAGATTGAAAAGAGCAGGGGACCCAGAACAGATCCCTGAGGGACCCCCCCACTTCAGCTCTTTCTTAGACGATGAGTGATTACCAGTAGAAACACTCATAGTTCCACCAGTCAGGTAGGACTTCATCTAACTCAGAGCTGCTCCTGCAATCCCCTTCCACTGCTCTAGGCATTCCAGCAGAACCTGATGATCCACAATATCGTACTTCACCATCGCTTTATAGATAGCCACTACTATCAAAGGGAACCTTATTTTGAAGCACAAAACCTGAGACTATTTTTAAACAACTAACATTTATAAATGCCAGTGTCACACTTTACAATATGGTCACATTTCTGTCTTGTATTCATGTTTTATTAGACATAATAAAGAACAAATATTTAATATAGTTACTCTAGAAAAATATATATTGGTGAAATAATTTGCCTCACTGTTTGACAAGAAACTGGTTAGTTCTGTCTCATTGTTGCCCTTAATTAAGGCACAATAAATCATTATCAATGATTTATAAAGTGTTAACAGATTATTTAATAACATATCTGTAAACTAATTACCAGCTCAATATAATGGAAACCTTATTGAAAAATGTTACCCAAATTATTGTGAAATTATTTTGAAAATTGTTTATATTTTTAAGTTTGTATTTCTGGCCTAAAATAGGTTCCACAGAAACATCTTTGCCTTTTGGGACTTATATGACAATGATTCACTCTTAATGACGTGCAGTTTTTTTATCTGTTGTCTATGTTTGCTTAAATGTCAGCCAAGAGTTACTTTAGCTTAAAAAAGCTGCAACGGAACAGTTTTTGTAGGCGATAAAACCAATATGAGATCTCTCAACTGCATTTTTAAGTTGCTAGCTTAACTGTGTTGTCACTGCACTTTGGTCACCTCCTGGTCAATCACACTAGGATTAGTTTCTGTTAAATGTTTAGGAACCAATACTAAATGTTTAAAGGAACAGTATGTAATAAGTTTATAGTAAAATAGTCCCAAAACGCCTAATGTCTCAATAATGTTGAAACGGAGGTTACATTGAAACAGATTTCCTTCTCAGCCTGGTGGGTTGTCAAGAGTTTTACTTTCCAAAAGGGCCAAACAGGAACGTAATTTTTGTTTTACTCTAATATCGAGTGAATCAGGACAGAGCCCAACATTGAGCTAACAAAGCTAATGGTGAATTAGAAGCAAACAAATGGCTCTAAAAATATTGCAAGCTACTTTCTTAATCACCAACATCTCAATATTACAGTGAAATGTTTGTGAGTAAATGAATGATGAGTCAATCGTGGCTTTTTACTTCCTTTGATGAGTCATTTAGAACTATAACAACAAGCTAACAGCAACACGGCAAACAACTGCAGTCCCTCAAATGCACATTACGGTAATAAGTGTAGTAAGTGTTCCCCACCGAAATGCACCCAAGTGTTCCAATACCAGATATGACAATATATTTATGTACTTATCAACTTACTGTGTATGACTCATCTATGCTCATCATTTGGCACTGATCCATAACTGGCAACGGTCATCAAACGCACAGAAGGGGAGTGAGAGAGTGACTTTTTATTTAGAAAAAGGGACTGCAGTACTCTAATTTGACCACAGAATGTCATCCTTACTTCATTCTTATATATTATACCTCTAAAGCCAGTACAATGATGTATTTTCATGGGTCTTTTAAGACTAAGTAAAAAAAAAAAAAAAAAAAAAGCAGAAAACTTAGCAAATATCTATTACAAAATAAATTTCATTCTTTTGAACAATGTTATTGCAGGTCTGTATGATGGTGCAGTGGGAAACACTGTTGCTTAGCACCAAGGTCATAGGTTTGAACCCCAGGGTGGAGTTACCATGCTCTCCTCATGCTTGCATGTATTTTTTTCAGGGTACCCTGGTTAAAGTTATAGATTAGTTCTTAATTAGATGTTTTTTTGTAAGTAGTGTAGATTCTCCTTTTGAATTAAAAATCTAAACTCACTTAGTCATATTCTGTCTTTTTCCCCTCAATTTCATCTTGAAGGACGATGCCTCCTGGTCAAACCTCCTCGGTCTCACCTCCATTTCCTCGCCCCATCTCCAGACTTCAAACACCTCACCACCAGCCTGAAACCTCATAGGCTCCATTTTTCCCCCTGTCCTGGCCAACATCCGCAGAGGTGATGCGACGGTTTATCTACTGCAAGGTGGTGTTGACCACGTCTTTGGTGTGGGTGCTGGTCGATGTTTTCTTGCTGCTGTACTTCAGTGAGTGCAACAAATGTGATGATAAGGACCACTCTCTGCTCCCTGCCCTCAGAGGTGAGTTCACAACAATACCTGCCTTTTATTCTCATGCTAGACTGAGGTGTGATGTTTCAGGTTATTAAATATTTGAAAGAGCACATCATAAACAACAAAAACAAATTAAATTAAGCTGAGCTCTTTTTTGATGGTGTTACAGGCTTCAATCTGAATGCTGGGTCATGTTCACACTGTTAACATATCATATGATTGTTTCTTCCTTGTGCTTTTTAGAATCTAATGACTTTTTCTCACTTACATTTAACAATCGAAATATCAAAATATCAATTCTATTCAGGACCTTTATTTGAAAATGAGTTTCTATGGAATTTTCTTACACTTCCTATTTTCTTCAACAGTGTTGCTAGTAATGCTTAAGTTGTAGTAATGCATTGGTTTAATCCCAACACCTTTTCAGTAACGTGCAATCTATTGTGTCTTGAATGGAGTTACATCCACATCTTGTTTTGCTCATTTCTTTTGTCACCATCTAGGTAGCTAACATAAGCAGTGTGATCCATATGCACGATAGATCAACTTGTTATAACATTTGAGGACACAAACGAGGATGTCACAAACAGGAACATTTGTATTGAACCCCCTCTCACCTCATACCAACTTGTCTAAAATGAGCTGTTTCAAAAATTCCCCATTTGTGACAGCAGCTCTACTCTGAACCCCCCCCCCCCCCCACACACACACATATTAGAGCTTCTCAGCCTATAGCAGCCTGAGTAGGGATGGGTAGGTGTGGCTAGCTCCAACTCATTTTCTTAAAGTGACAGAGCCCTGAAACATCTAATTCTGGAAGGTACTGAAACTGTCAAAAATAAAACTGCTGAATAGGCTTTATGTGGGAGGGATTTAGTGCAACAAACTTCATAAACACGTTTTGCATCGACCAAAGAACAATTACATATTTTTTTAAAAGGCACATATCTCCTTTATAATAAATCTGACACTTTTGTGTGAAATGTGAAATTTCTTTTTTTTCTTAAAGAAATAATTAGCATTTGTTTTTGCAAATGTGTGTAAAGCAGTATGAAGATTACCTCATATTCTCACCTTCAAAGATAAACACAGACATACAGGATCCTTTTATTTCATCATCTGGTTTTGCTATGTATAAAAGAATCTGTATAGAGAGAGACTCTGTTGGCCTTGCAGAAGCAGGTTAGGAATTTAATGCACCTTGTTGCAATATCAGAGCAGCATAATCCCGTTTCAGCTCATGATATACTGATTTCCCCTCTATAAGGTTAGTAGTGATACAATTTCATTCATTCTAAGGACTCTTGTTTTGCTTCTGGGTTCTTTTCATATCATTTGATCATAACAAGAGATGTTTCTGGAATATATAGTGGTTTTGACACCATTTCCCCCTGATGATTTAAATCAAATTATTGCACTTCTCTCTATTTCATTTCCTCTTTTTGTGTGTATGTGTGTGTATGCGTGTGTGTAAAAAGTCTTTCTAAATTTTTTTTAAATACTGAAGTGTCCTAGAGAGGTTTCAGATGAACACTTTGTAGAAAAAGCCTCAATTTAAGACTTTTCTTTAATATTTTCCACCCAAATCATAAAATGTACAGAAAACCAGCAGGCCAGACAATTTTCAACTATAGCCGCTGACCTCTTGCAAAAATGTACTTGGAAGTATGTCAGCAAACATGCTGGTACCTTTCTTCTAACCTTTGTTTCTTTCTCCACTCACTTCCTGGTTTTGTGGACGTATTTAGATGCAGGTGGCATCCTAGCAGAAGTCCAGAAATCTTTCTCAGCGGGCACCACCTAGAGGGAGAAAGAAATATTGTACATTTAAGTCCTTCTCCCGTCTTCTGGGATAATGCAGCTCAGTCTAGGCACTTCCACTCTGATGGATCTGTATGTAAGCAGATATCAAACGCTATTGGCTAATACTAAGTGGCGGTCATGTCAAATTGCATGGGGTTCTATGGGATGGGGAGCGGACTTGAGCAACCAGCTCCTGGTGCAATCTACTGTCATCTCCCGCATCGATTACTGCAATGCCCTTCTAACTGGTCTTCCAGGCTGTACTGTGAGACCTCTTCAAATGGTCCAGAACGCAGCAGCGCGTCTGGTCTTCAGTCAGCCAAAAAGAGCACACTTCACCCCTCTGTTCATTGAGCTCCACTGGCTACCACTAGCAGCATGCATCAAATTCAAATTGCTAACTCTAGCATACAAAGTCCGAGATGGTACGGCTCCCATCTACCTGAATCCTCTTGCAAAGGCTTACGTCTCGGTCTGGCCGCTCCGTTCATCACAGGATCGTCGGCTACGAGTGCCTACACCACGCTCAGGACAATCCAGACTCTTCTCATGCATCGTTCCACAAATGTGGAATGACCTACCAAGCACTACCAGAACAGGGGCTTCCTTTTCAATTTTCAAGAAACTCCTGATAACCTTGCTCTTCAGAGAGCATCTTCTTAACTAGCACCCTCCCTGCACCCGTCCCCCTCTCTACTGTCCACTCCTTGTTCCCTCCTCTCCATGATTCATCATGCTGCCTCACTGCCACCTACGACTGACTGGAAATTGTTTGTTGTTGTTGTTATTGTTGTTGTAAGCCTCAAGGGCAACATGCCGATTGGACAAAAGCGTCTGCTAAATACATAAACATAAACAAACTTGGCAAAAAACCAAATGATATCACAGTGCAGGGTAAGACTATCACAATTCCATATTTCTAAAAAATTATAATTTCCGCTATGGATTGCTGCTTCAATGTCAAAACAACAAGGCTCCTCATATGCTCTACAAACAAGAAAACGGTTTTCTTATACCCCTTACTCAATGCATTACGTCTTTCAATATGTCCTCTCTCTGTGTGCTGCAGGCAAACACTCCCTCACACTACAGCAACAGGGCCTGAGTCCTCACATGCCTTTAAGAAAGCAGTTTTCTAGGTTTCTAAGAGGCTTACTAATCTGCTTTTAGGCTGGAATGAGGTAGTGCTGCCAGCTACTTTGGCTCATTAGGTCTAATTTATATTTATCTCAGTTTACTTAGAAAATAGGTCAAATCTTTTTTTTTAACCTTTTAAATACTATTTGTGTATGTTTTAAAAGCAGTAAAACAATAGCATAGAAATTTAGACAGACAGTAGCAAAATGATTTTGCTCTGCATGTCGGTCTAGACACAGTCCATAGAAGTCCCAGCAGGCTTACCATTGTCTTGAGCTGTGCTGTTTAATGCCAATCGGTTTGGTGGGCCAATCACAGCGCTCTATCGGTTTGGTGGGTGGGATGATGCAATGGAGCAGAAAAATTAAAACTAGTTTTCCATGAGCACTGCTCAGCCCAAAACAGCTCTGTACAGCGTGGTTTGAGCCAGCCCATCTGAGTGTAGTTTTGTTCCCATCCCAGCTCTGTGACAGAAAGTGCGCTACCCATAGATGCTGTGGGGAGGAATGGGAGGACTCAACGCACTCGCGGCAGGGGGGTGGGGGAGGGGGTGCGATTTTTACTCATGACAAAATAACATGAGGTGATCAGTAAACAGTGTAAGGTAACCTGCATGCTCCGCAGAAACAAAACTCAGGCCCTGTCCACACGTAACCGGGGATCTGCCAAAACGTAGATATTTTTCTACATTTTGGCCTGTCATCCACACGAAAACTGAGTTTTTTTCACACCAAAACGGATCTTTTTGAAAACTCCGGCCAAAGTGAAGATCTGCGTTTTCTCCATTTTGGGTGTCTGCGTGTGGACAGACAAAACCGGAGTTTTAAGGTCCGCAACGTCACTTTCCGCGACAAAAAAATGCTGACATCACGTGTGCGACCTGTGTTTACACTAGCCGACAGCATGGATGCCCTCAGAGCTGCGGTCGCTTTATCAATTGTCCAAGCGCTTTTTGCTTGTTTGTTTTTGCAAGCGGAATTACTGCTCCTTGTGGAAGACCACAGACGAAGGACGAGGTTAAGAACGGGGGAAGTACTGCCGCCTACAGGTCTGGCATGTCCTTAACAACGTATTTATCCGGGTACGTGTGGACAGAGTTTTTTTTTTAAATGAGGTGGTGTGGATGCAAGTTTTTGGAGGGGCGGATATTCGTTTTTAAAAAAACCCGGCTACGTGTGGACTAGGCCTCAGCAAAAAATGGTGGTGTTGCTTGACATTTAGCTCAGAGGTTCTCATTCAGGGTTTTTATTACAGCTCCTTGTAAGGATGTGTGTTAGTGAAATAATGGCGATACGATACGTATCACGATACAGGAGAGACGATACAATATTTCACGATATATTGCGATACATTCAGTCGGATGATATTAGCAATTTTTTTAGACTGAATTTATTATAGGAAAATTCAATAAACAGTCCAAACTGATAGAAAACATGTTTAACATGCGGTATCTGAACCATAACAGAGGGATTTACATTTCATTGGTGGAAACAAAACCCATTGTGCACTGCTACCAACTAGCGGTCAACATTGAAATTGCACCCCCCCCCCCCCCCCCCCCAAAAAAATACACAAATGTTTGCATGTAAATTCTTCCAAAAATTAGATACACAGCATTTGAATGTTAATATAATATTACGATATCAATATTTTTGATACACAGCTATGGAATATTGGTTTAATATCGCTGGAGAAAATATATTGCCATATCAACATTTTCTTACATCCCTTGCTGTTTGGATCCTTCCAGGGTGTTGCGTTTGGTAAGCGAAGGAGATATGGGGAGGTGGGTAGGATTGTGGGCAGATCTTATACTTTGCTTTTGCCAACATGTGTCTGTGTCCTGTTGGACTATAAATTGCATTTAATCCCTGGTTCTGGGCTCATTCTTTGACCTTCATAGAGTGAGACACGAATGCTTTTTATGCCTTCGGTAATAAATGATATAAAAAGACAGACGTTCTATCTCTTTATTGTGTGGTTCTTCAGTTCATTAAAAAATTTCCGTGACATTTCTCACCTGAATGTACAACTTTTAATCTACAACATATGGTTTGATAAAAATATGGACTATGTTAAGAAATCTG